TTAATTGAGCCTTATGACATATAGGAGATATTCAACACATTAGAGGCGATAATGATATGAATTGTAGAAAGATCATCAACAATCGAATAGCAGTGCCTTTTTCTATTCACATAGTGTTTACTATAAAAATTAAATACAAATAATATCTAAAAAATTGAAAAAGATTATATATTAGGAATAAATGATGTTTTGTTTTGTTATAGATAATTATTGGCATCTGCTGGTTCGTGCAGTTTGCCTACAGTTACCACATCAGTTTAACAGTAAGCATAGTTTACACTGCTGATGCTTTAGAGATGCTGACAAGATGATTACACTTAGCAAACCTTTAATACTTAACATCATAGCTTGAACACATGATTATATTCGTAATATGAGAAAATGAGTGAATCTTAGGAACTACATAAGTCGAATAAAATCTTTAACTTTTGATAAGTTCCTGTTTGATAATTGCTTAATTTTTATTCATGGCAAAAACAACATCTGACTTTGACACTGGCAAATTTTTGTTTTTTGTAACAATAAAAGACTTTCTTTTCTTATTATGGAATTCATCTTATTGCCATTTAATAATTTTTCAAAAGACATTTTTTCCTTTTTCTGTCAGAAACAAAATCAAAGTTCTGTGTCGGTTAACATATTTTCAAACTAAATAGATGATATTTTCTTTAATTGATTTGAATATTTCAATGAGTGCACGATATTTTGAAGTTCTTTTAATCATGTATATTCAAATCATTTTCAATATTCTACATGACTAAAGGTATGTAAAAATATTTCATAACTTTACTGTACTTTCAGAAAGAGGAAATCGTTCACGAATATCCTGAAATTTTGAGTAGCTGTCTAATTTGAGTTCCAATATAAAAGCAGGGGTGCCCCGACTAGGGGGGCGACGGGGGTGTAACACACCCCCAATGTTCGAAAAATTGTCTTGCATTGCGTTTTATAAAATAAAAATTATGCTATCTTAAGCGTGATTTTATAAGTTATTCTCAGTATTGGCAAATGTTTAACTCAAAAATCCAGAATTCAAATCTGGTCACCCCCCTCAACATTTTTGGAAAGTAGGATTTTATAAACTACCCCCCATCAAGTTTTGCTTTCACGCGATGCCCGTAACCATAGCATTTTGAAGGAGAAAAATTTCACCCACCCCCCTCCGCAAAGTTGGAATGATCGGAGCACCCCTGGATATAAGAATACATATATACCACTCACCCGAACCAGCACTTGGACACTCCTCGATTGTATCCATCACCTACACCCACCGTAATTTTTTCGCTTGATTGTTGATAAGCGCTGCGATGTATGCCCTCAACCCACGCCCACTCCATCTTAAACTAAATCTATTTCTATCACTTATTTTCGAATTGATACCATGCAGTTGGGTGTCCATTTATATTCGAATTCGAAGTTTGAATTTCGAACCAGACATCTTACGCTCATTCCGAAAACAGTTATTGTTGTGTTCTCTTTTTATCAAAGTTTGAAAGCGAAAAGTTTCAACATTATCTCTCGTAATAAAAGTCTACCATTAAAAGAGCCAACTGATAGCAAGAGATAGGCTTCTAAATCACATGCGTTTATGATATTTTACAGCTGGGATTTTTTCAGTATATTTATACATAATCGCGTATTGTCACATTAGGTAGAGTAGGAAACATGTGAATCAAAATCTGCCGGTATGAATACAATCTTAAATTTTTGTTTATAAGGCTGAATCGTCACCGACTTTGGTAAAAGCAACTTGAGGCTCTCGAAATTCGATAGAACTCGTCAATATTAATATCAATATTGGTCTAACATTTTTTAAACTTAGTCGAGTGTTTAGGTCAATTACTTCAGAAAATACGCGAATATCTCACGTAGGTAATGTTAGGACCAGATTCGCGTATTTCGCGTCCGGATTCGCCTACTCCACTGTGCTGGCTCTCTAACTCGTTGTGCTGGGTTCAGAATTTTGAGCTCTATCGAACAGTAACAGTTTCAGGCGGTTCTAAAGTGAAACCTGCGAAGCCTCATCAAAATACTGCTTTTCCTTCCATGTAACGGTTTCACAATAACAATATTACATGGCAGGATTCGCCTATGCGCCTCTGAGCATCCTCAAATTGATTGTGCTGGATACAGAATTTAAAGCTCTATCCAACGGTGTCAGTTTAACATGGGATCGCCAGGCCAAAATCAGCGTTTTCTCCGTAATAATACCACAAAAAACGTGTTTTTCGGCAAATAACCTGTCAGGATTCGCCTATCCACCTGTGCTGAGCCTCTACTTCCTCCCAATCGATGCAGAATTTTGAGCTCTATCTAATGGTAGGTGATATAGATAGGGTAGTCGGCTGCAAATCGAGTTTCACAGGAAAAAACAAATTTGACCCAAATGCAATCGCCGTCCAAAATTCAACCATCTGCCAGCATTCGATTGTGCACATCGGCGGTTCCCCTACTTGATTCTGCTAGATTCAGAATTTCGAGCTCTATCTGTCGATGTCGGTTTCAGGTGGAATCGTCAATCTAGGGCGGGGTTTTTCGCGAAATAGGACCTCGAATCCATCCCTCCAGGAGAGTATGTCGTCAGGATTCGCCCAGATTCTTGTGCTGATATTCTATTTGATTGTGCTTGAATCAGAATTCGAGCGGTATGTGTCTGTGTTTGTTGCAGGTGGGGTCGTCGATGATAAACACGGGTTATCTGTGAAATACCAGCAGAGGATCATTTTCTCTGATATAGAATGGTTTTCCAATTCGCGGAGAGATCGGTGTTGATACTGGAGTTGGTTGGGGTGGTTTGAAAAGTTTGGCTACATGGAATGGTCTAAAGTTGGGATTGATTTCGTCAGAACTGGTTTGGTTTTATTGTACAATATCAGGGAAAGACCGTGTCGTGTGTGGAATTTGGTTGCGGTTGGCGATTTGAGACGTCATGGGATAATAGTTCGATCGGTGTGTAGAATGTAGTTCTGTGGCGATGGAGAATCTGGGTGTTTTGGTAACTGAAACATAAGTTCTGTTTTTGCTTTCTTTTGGTTGTTTTTGCATCAGAAAGATGTTTCATTAATGGTGATATTTTTGTGCTGTTGTGCTGTGCGACGGATTCGCCGGTAATTGGTAGCTAAGATACTGCATTATGGAAGTATATATAGTATGTCACTGTTATGGACATAGAGCATTTCTTGAAATTGATATCTGCTGAATCTTTATTGTCATGGTTACTTGATTTTGTGTGATATACATATTATAAATTCGCTTTTAATATGTGTGAAACAATATCATAAATACTAGGAGTTTTAGCGAGTTCAGGTTCCTATAACTGTTGGTAGATGTTCGAAAGTATTGTTTAGTTAAGTTGGATAGTTTTATCTCGATTATGAATTTTTAAGAAAAACAATAATTTCTGGAGGTGTGTTTTCTTGATTTCATTATTTCTCTAATCCTTTTTTTGCAGAAAATCTTTAAATTCTTATGATCGAGTATAAAACAATTTTTTTTAATGAATTTCCTTTTTGGTTTCAATAGATACTTACGTGGTTAATAATGTAAATAGAATGCATGCTGAAAATGGCAAAAAAGAGTAGCTCTTATTATCAAAAAAAATAGAAATACTTTACTTAAAAAAATATAGTCGTTTGGACTCCAAAAACCTACAGATTTTGTTCTCTAATGAGATTATATGATGATTATAGCACACAAGGTACACTATTAGGCTTGTGCTGTTTAAAATTACCATATTGGGTATCACACTAATAGCAGTCGCTATTTAAAAAAAAGCTCTTGCCACATACATATATTCCTGAATACTTAAAACGAATTTTTAAAATCAAACTATGCGTGTATATTATAAAAACTTGTGTTTAGGAACTTTTATATTTTTTTTGTAAAGATTCCGATATCTCGACTAATTCAATAGTGGTGATCAAGAAAATTTAATTATATCGTCCTCTCATATATTGCTATAGGATGCAATACTAACCGCTTCTGGAATTGAAAACTTTTCCCGATCAATTGTTGTACAAACCAGAGATGTGACCGGTTCGATTTTGAACCGAACCGAACCGAACCGAAATCGGTTCGGTTCGAAAATTTCACGTAAAAAACGATTCGATTTTTTTCGGTTTAAGATTTTTTCGGCCCGGTTCGATTCGGTTCAAGGTCTATCAAACCGTTTTCTTTTTTGTATGACAGAGACATAGTCATGTTGTGAATGTGAAAGAAAAAACATTAAAACATTTGGCCATGTTTCATGTACAGATGTCGATAGTGACAAAAAATAGATACTAACAATTTTTCTAATTGGACATCTGCATCGTCAAATAATAAAGAGTGAAAATGAACAAAAACAGCCGCAAATATTACTTTATTAGAGCTTGAACAGACTAGGCGGATTAAAATTGAATTAACAAATAATTCATCTCGAAAAGATGATTTAATTTTTAATGCACCAGTCACGTTGCTTAACTCAGTATTAACTTTTGTAGTGTGTTCAAGCTCTTATTGTAGAGAATAAACATTTCGTATTGTTTCCGTATTTTTCAGTTTCTATTTTGGTTTAACGAATGTTTATTTTATTTTAGTTAAACTCATCACGAACTTGCAGCAAAACTTCTACAAAAACGTTACATGATCTTAATATGGATCAGTCGTCCTATTCATCAATATCGTCTAACATTTCTGCATCTACATCGTCATCAATCGTCATCAATTCCTTATCATCTTCATCGTCCACTCAGTCGACAAATCCTGATATTCAAATTTAAAATGATAATGTTCACAAATATACAACAGAAACAGTTGCATTATGTCTAAAGTACAAGAAAAATCTATATAAAATTGTTGATAAAAAGTCTAAGTCACCATGTTGGTCTATCTTTGGTTTGCCTGCGAAAATAGTAGGCAATGGTTATGAAATAATAAAAAGCTTTGCTTCTTGTAAGACTTGCTATCAGACATACTCATATTCGTCAACTACATCAACATTGTCAAATCATAAGTGTCCAATGATTACAAACAAAAGCCAACAAAAATTACAACTATCATCAACATCGAGAATTGCATTTCGTGATGCACTATCGGATTTACCTAAATCCATTCCACCTGATCCAAATAATATAAAAATTAGTGAAAAAGAAAAAAACTTGTTCAAGACTTCGTTGACTAATTGGATATGTTTGAATATTCGATCAATAAACATAATTGAAGATGAAGGTTTAAAAAGTTTAATAGACCTCTCCATTCGTATAGGTAAAAGTTTCGCTTTTCATGTGAAATCACATTTTTCATTTATTTTTCAGGTTATATGCATGGTCCTGTTTCAGTTTCGTCTCTATTTCCTTGTCGAAAAACAATAACTAAAGAAATACAAAAAATCGGTATGGCTGGTCGTGATGAGATGAAGACAGTTTTAATAAAAGCTGCAAAAGAGAGGCGTCTATCATTGTCCCCAGATTTATGGTCTGATGGTTACAAGCAAATATCTTATCTCGGTTGTGTTGCTCAATGGTTAGACGATGAATGGAATTTATGCTCATTCGATTTATTTTGTCTACCGTATAGAAAACCTAATAAGTCAGCTGCAAATTTAATTAAAGTAAGTTTTCTCTTTAACTACTTAAAATAAAAATTAGGATTTCTATATTATTATGCAGGTTATTGAAGATGGTTTAGAACTGTTTGGTTTGAAGCCTTTCATGTTTGATATTGTCTGGGTATCTGACAGAGGAAGCAATTTCAAGAAGGCATTAGCAAAATTTACAGTGTTACATTGTATCGCTCATCGTTTAAACAATATGCTGCAGCACACATTTTATCAATCACAAATGAATAAAGTAAAACAAGATGCTGTGTTTGCCGATTATTATGCTAGTTCGATGGAAGATGAGGATGATTATGTTAGTGACAACGATACTGAAGATGATATCAGTTTCAGTGATGATGAAGCTTTAATTGATAAACGGATCAAAAATCGAAATAATTTTTATGCAACATCCACTCGAAATACTTTAAATAATACTATTACTCAACTACCATCAGACGCAAAGCGCGTTTTAGTTACAATCATCCAATGTAAAGATTTAGTTAAGTATATTAAGAAGGTGAGACGAATATCAGCATATTTGTATTATTACTGTTCATAAATTAGCAGCTCTACTAACACGAAAAACGCTTTTTTTTCTAGATTAACCTGAATCAAGAATTAGAGGATCGAGACGCTGCAGTGTTGGTGCAAAGTACAATCGTTAGGTGGTTGTCTCTGTACAACTGCCTAGAAAGTGTTCGAAAGTCCTTGGCACCATTGGGGGATCTTTTCGAAGAAAAGAACTTGGATAAAAATAGAATAGACATTATCAGCATAAATTTGTTGGACAAAATTATCGAGTTTTTGAAACCATGGACTAGTGTAATGCAGCGCGTGCAGTCATCTAAACTTCCCTCGATTCATACAGTAACACCAAGCATGTTGGTGATTAGTAATTCACTAGACTCAAAGAAAGATGATTCCAAACAAGAAAAAAGTAAGCTATTTGTATTTTCTTGATTTTGTCCACTTGAATGCTTTCGTGGTTTTTCATAGGTATTAGTTATTTTCGCCAAAGAGCAAAGCAAGTGATCAAAGAAAAGATTTCGTTTGATCCGATACATTTGATGGGCACGTTCTTCAACTGTAAAACAAGAAAAATGAAACACCTGTCATCAAAAGAAAGAGAAGAGTGTCTGGAATACGTAAAACAAGAGATGTTATTAGTGGATGTTAATGATCATGTTGCTTCACCTGGCGCAAAGAGGTCAGTTACAACAACAGCCAGTAATTCATCGTCGTATATGACAGAGTTCTACATGAATGAGGAATATGATGATGATGATGACAGTAATGGTACACATAGTTCTTCGAAAGCTGCAGCACATTTAATTGAAATCGATATGTATCAGAAGTACGGTGTAGATCAAACAACATCCGAACCCGGTGAAGAAGTTACTGAATACAATCCTCTATCGTTTTGGAAGTAAAAGCATGATTCTTATCCAGTCTTGGCGAAAGTTGCTGCTCGAATTTTAGCGGTTCCAGCTACTAGTGCAGCTGTTGAGCGTGAGTTCAGCTTCACTGGTAATATAATAACTCAAAAACGCGCAAGATTATCGCCAGATACTGTGAATGATACAGTATTCAATCATTCATGTAATATGTATAAAAAAAATTTAGTAATGTTAAATAACACTTGTCACGTTGTTTTCACTTTTTTTATAATTGTATAAACTATTTTTTATTTATGATAAATAAACAATATATGTATAACATGTACATAAACGATTATGAAAAACCTAACGTCTTTAAAATATGTTTCACTTTTTAAATGATTTTACAGACTAGAATTCCGTTCGGTTGGGATCGGTTCGGTTCGGTCTAAAACTTTTCGATTTCGGTTCGATTCGGTTCGGTTCACGAAAAACACGAACCGGTCACATCTCTGGTACAAACGGTACAATAGAATTGCAATTCACTTATATATATATATACAGTATATTAGAATTTCTACTAATCCAAAAAAAGCCACTCGAATAATATAGTGCTATGTCAAACAACCAAAGCTGTTAAGAAGATAGTACTACTATTGTATTGAAAAATGATTTGAATTTTTTATGAATTCCAATGGCAAATAGCAATTACAAATATTTAATATAAATAGCGTAAATCAAATGAGTTCGCTACGTTTGAAAAGTTCTTTCCTAATTAAACTCGATAAATATCGTCAACTATCTTCAGTTTATTTTTCCAATAGGAATTATCTTTGCAAATGCATGACAATAGTTCCAGAACGAAGTGGCGCTACTTTATTACAAAATAAAGCTTTAAAATTGTTTGCTATCACTCAAGTTTGTCGATATGGTAACATTTTATCTATGGTTTTTATAATATCAAACAAACTCAGTAATTTTCCATTGAAAAAAAAAGAAAAATTATAGATTCTTTAGGATTGTTACTGTAGTCGTATAGGAACCTGTTTTTTTCATGCAATAATTATCACCTGATTTTTCATTTAAAAAATATCGCATTGCGATTCTTAAAAAGCTTCTTTCCATTATTTGATTCTTAAATTTTCGGAGGGCTAAGTATATAAAAACTGTTCTTAATAATCAGCAGCATAAATAGCTTATTTTGATGCTAACGGGTACAAACAAATGAACTTCGTGAACTGATTTTTGACGTGGATAATAAAATTAAATACATTGTGTTGAGAACTACGCATATCCAGTGGATCAATCTGTAATCCTGTTAGAAATTCGATGGAGTCAATCAGTTTTCCATTTGTTGATTTCGAAAATGATCTTCTTGTCTGGCAAATGTCGAACATGTTTATGAACATGAAAATAGATTGCTGAGAAATAGCAACATAACAACTTTTAACATATTTTTTCTATTTAACAATATAAATTATCAGAAAAATGCGAGTATAAAAGTTCAGCCCATATTTCGTCATGTCGGAACTCCCCAATGGCAATATAATATTTATTAATTATTTTGTAGAATTTGTCATCACTTGTTCATAGCAAATCAATTTTAATTACATATGAAAAATTTGTTGATTCTATGTCGATCAACTGAAAAGTTATTTGAGTTCAAAATTTGAATTTAGGTGATACATTTGAATCTTTAATTTTAGGAACATTCATAATATCAATACACATGTCGGTCCTCATTGTGTATTTTGTCCTTTTTCTTAAATCAAGCTTATTAATATACGACTCAAGTGTTTCATAAACGATATTCATTTGAAAGAGTTGAGTACAAGACAGAAATGCAACTCAGCTTGAATGAATAAAAGTCTATTCTAAATTTCATAGCAACGTATATGAACAAATATGTAACACATGAGTAAAAAATATTCATTTTCTTTAAACGAATTTTCTATATAGCTGGATAACAAGCAATTAAATAATAACTCTTAAACTGTGTAATATGTTACTTGAGAAGACTCAATCATTCAATATTCCTCCAATGCAATACTATGAGTACGACATCTAACATCTGATATAGTACACGACTCGTACGAGAAAAAAGTTTTTCTATTGAGTAAAAACTGAAAAGAGATGCTACTGCATCACCGCAGGAGATGTTATTATTTTCTCAAATAGTATTCATCTATAAATACTTTTCGCTCATCATAATGAAATAGATCGAATACCAAGGAAACAAAGACAAACGGACTTTTTTTGCTACAGTTTTATATGAAATATTGAAAGGAATTATGCATGAAAATTTTTTTTTTATTAACTGCATTTCTTAAACTTTACATTGTTTATGAAAGATTGTTTTACTACGGAACGCTGTATTACTTATCTGAACTGTAAGAAACGAAAATTTATTTTATAATTTATTTTTCAAATTTCAATTTCAACTGATATTCTCGCGTTATCCATCATGGTATTTCCCGAAAAACCTCCGCTTATATCGATGATTCCACCTGAAACAGGCATCGACAAGTAGAGCTCGAAATTCTGAATCTAGCACAATCAAGTAGGGGAACCGCCGATGTACACAATCGAAGGCTGACAGATGGATGAATGTTGCGAGGCGATTGCATTGGAGTCAAATTTGTTTTTTCCTGTGAAGCTCGATTTTCACCTGACTACCCTATCTAAATCACATACCATTCGATAGAGCTCAAAATTCTGCATCGATTGGGAGGAACTAGAGGCTCAGCACAGGTGCATAGGCGAATCCTGGCCGGTGATTCGCCTAAAAACATGTTTTTGTGGTAGTATTTCGGCGAAAACGCTGATTTTGGCCTGACGATCTCATGTTAAGCTGGCACCGTTGGATAGAGCTTTAAATTCTGCATCCAGCACAATGAAGTTGAAGAAGCTCAGAGGCGCATAAGCGAATCCTGAGAGGTAATATTAATTTTGTGAAACCGTTACATGGGAGGAAAAGCAGTATTTTGATGAGAGTCCGTAGGTTTTGCTTGAGAACGGTCTGAAACTGTTACGGTTCGATAGAGCTCAAAATTCTGAATCGAGCACAACGAGTTAGAGAGCCAGCACAGTGCAGTAGGCGAATCCGGACGCGAAATACGCCAATCCGGTGCTAACATTACTTACGTATTTTAATCAAGCAGATACAATATTGTTTAAAGATGGATTAGCAATCATTCCCAAAAACGTTTTAGACTGTCTGTTAGTCTTCTTTTAATAATAAACGTTGTGTTTTAATTAAGTCTACTGGCTGATTCATTTTCAAGATAATCACGAGCGCATGCATGAAAAAATACTATTTGCCTATTGAGAATGAAACGGTTCATTGATTCAAGTAAGTAAAAGTAAGTGGAGAAAAGCCACATAATGACGCCGACGACAGATACGGTGTACAAGCCATTGCAAATATACGGTGTGAGTATCGGATATGGGTGTACGGATATTATTCATGGAATAGAACATGAAGACCAACACTCATATCCTCATGATCAAAAAATGAAGGTTTCTTTTACTCATCAAAAAGAGTAACTTCGAGATTCCAAGGTGATTTATTTCGTATATCAACGTATATTTTTGTTTTGATCATGGCATAATAAAATCGAAAAACAAGCGAAACAAAAAAAGGAAGACGATTGAAAGAGAAAAGCCCCATGCGGGGACGATTGCATATATGAAAAAATACTGCTTGCCTATTGAAAAAGACACGGCTCATTGATTCACGTAGACAAAATTAAGTTGGAAAAAACCAAGTGATTTCGTCAGTGATTAATACGGTGTATACATCAATGCAAGCATACTAAAACGAATTCGCATTCTTCAGTACATCTTACGACGTATGTATATTTTATTCAGTTTAAATTGTTTATAGATAATATAGAAAAAGCATAGTGAAGTATACTTAACCTGAAGATAGAGTCCTCTGGGGTAATTCGGATCAAAATTTTGAAAATTCATTTTGTTTTTGTTCCTCCTCAGTCATCTTGCATTGTACAATGGTGATTTTTTTAATACTACTAGTTCAAAGTGTTCTCTGTCGAATCACGAAAGAATCATCGAAAAATATTATACCGGTAAAAAGTATCAATCAAAATGGTAAAAGTAGTGTGGAGCTGATCCGAGTTCCCCCACATGGGGTAATTCAGATTACTCTATGAATCTAGGTGGGGTAATTCGGATCACTCTAGCTATTTTTGCTAGTGGCCACTTTTGAAAAGTCTACCGTTTCTAAAAAGCAAAATCGATGGCTGGACCCTTAAGAAAAGTTGTTCGTCCCCCTTTTCTCTACATGGTCCTACACGAAAGCACTATTTCATACCATCGATAACCTTTTAGACTAATTAATGTGTTTACACAAAAAAAAGTTTTCTTATCTGATGTACCCCGTCTGCCTTCCATTGAGCATCCCAACTAAAGACAAAGTTCTAGAAAAAATACGTTGCGTAGCTCTGACGTAGAAATGTTTGGGCTACAAAATGGTACGAAGACATCAACGGAAAAACAGCGGTTACTACTTGAGATATGGAGAAAACTAACACGTACACATAGGTTTTTTTATATTTCTGTAACATATTCAGTATTTAACGACCAAAAACATGTTATTCCGAGAAAAACCAATATGATATTCCGAATCAGCATGGGAAACTGAGTGCACACACATATATTACAAGTGTTTTTTTAAACTTTTGTTGTCTTGCATAAACTAAGTCCTGGTACTCCCCCAGAGTCAAAGGAAAAAAGCGGTTCTTGGTGGCTCCTGATGGATTCTATAGTGCATCAGGAGCCGTGGATTCCATCAGGATGCACAGAATCAACCAGTACCCATAGAATCCACTAGGATCCATTTTGATTAATAAGTTCATATCAATTTTTAAAACAATTTGCAGCTGCTACGGAGAAAAGCGAAACTCATATACGTAGGATCTATGACTTTGACCGTGTCTTGAAAAAGTTATGAGAGTGACCACTCATTTTTTCATAGATCTAAATCGTCTCTCTATCGTTTCGTGAATCTAAGTGCTTAGAAAAAACTTGCAGAT